CCCGAGATTCTATCCGGCAGACTATGAATATACCGACTATAGAGTAATGCGGGGCAAAAGTACGCACTTTACTTTTTTAGTAAGTTAACTATTGAACGAAAGGCAAATACCATGCGACCAAGTTACCACGTATTGCCTTAATGTCTTACCTTTCAAAGGCTAAAGTACGCATTTGACAATTTTTAAAAACTGTTTCAGTTCTCATATTCCAGTACTACGGGAAATTACCAAAATATTTGTGTAATATGAGAACTGAAACAGTTTTTAAAAATTGTCAAATGCGTACTTTAGCCCGTAGGGGGGGGGGGGGGCAAAAGTACGCATTGTACGGGCAAAAGTACGCATTGAACAAATAATGTATTTGTCGCAAATAATGGTTGTAACAAATAGTTTCTTGAGTACTGTACCTCCCCTCTGGTCAACCAGGATTAGGAAGCATCCAAAAACTACGTTTTCTTTTAAGGGGCAGAAGCGTGAGGGAGGGAGGGTGATGAGAGTTGTAGTTTGTTGGTTTCCATAAAGGTTCATATAAAACATATTAAGGTTCCATGCAAAACGGGTAAAATAATCTTTGAAATTCGACCACGTTTTCTCTGGATGGTTCCCGAAGTGTTTTTCTGCCGACTGGTTTTGCGGCAACCCGGCACCAACCAGACCCGATGTTGAACTGGCAATGACCCAAAATTGGCTTGAAAATGGGTTGACTTCTTCTTCTTCATTTTTGAATTTCAAGCTTATTGCTTGATCGGCTTGACATCGACCTTAAATTGGCCATTCATTAATCCGACATCCGTTTCTGCCATGGTATAGTTCCACTTCTGAGGTTGATTTGAATTCGAATAATTTCAAAAAATCATCTTCATGGCAAATACTATGCGGTAGACCTCGCCATTTTGATCCCAGATACGCAACAGTCATTTCTAGCGTTCAGAATCATAAGGGCTCAACTGCGATGATCGATTCTCTTCATCGGTAGATCTTCATCAATAGATCGTAAAACTTTTTGCGCTGAACGGAAAATGGTACAACTTTACATTCCATGAAAAAGGTCACATCCAAAGACTGAAACGTCGGACAAAGCCCAATAACCAAATAATTAATATTTTTTAAACAGCAAAAAAGGTTATGTTCCATTTAACTCAACTTAATTAATTTTGGTATCGATGACAGATACAGGGAATCACAATATTGAGCGTACAGATTTTCTTAAATTATAGAAAAACAGCTGTAAAAGCCCAATTTAAAAAGAAACTTTTCTGAATTTTTGGTTGCTTAATCATCATACATTCATCAAATGTTGGAACAGTATTAGGCTTATTTGGTAGCGTTTATTAAAAGTAAAACCTATTTGAGAAAAACACTTTTTACTTGAAATACCTTAATATTTTAAAATACATTGAACTAAACTTCTTGTAATTTTGCTCATTTTAGTCATAATAAAGATCATTGATATTCCACTCGTTTTTTTTCTAAAATTCATCCAATAGGTAAAAAGTTGAGCGAGCGTTTTACTAAAATAAATCTAACTTCATACAGGTTCTTCCAATAAAGTTCAAAACTATAGCGAAAATCAATAAATATCTGTTTAATCACCAGCCAAGATTTAAAAAAAATATATCTATTCACATTTAAAAAAAAAAATCCACTAGGGCATACGCTTAATTTTGTATCATGAAATTAAGCGTATGCCCTAGTGGATTTTTTTTTTTGAAATGTGAATAGATATATTTTTTTTTAAATCTTGGCTGGTGATTAAACAGATATTTATGTACGTATGTGTACGTATGTACGTATTTTGACTACAATGTGCAGTCTTCATCAGTGTCATTCCCACTAAAGAGCTTATCAAAACCTAACCCCCTTAAGTAATCATCCCCTAGGTAAAAATGTCAAGACCACAGGTATAAAAATGAAACTACAATGTGTAGAATCGGAACCTACTTAACTAAAAAAGTAAGAGAGCAGATACGTCGAAATGCTGGTCAATCTGTTCGTAAGATGGCCAAGCAGTTAGAAATGTCGCAAAGATCCATCAGACGTATTTTGAAACAGGTCATTAGGCTTAAAGCATACAAAAACCAGCATATCCACAGTCTCACTGAGAAGCATACGATAGCTATAGTCGAGAAATGTTGGAAGCTCATCAAGCTGATTATGAGATTCCCATAACCAGCAAAACGACCGAGTATACGCATCAAAGCTTTTGGAGGTTTCCGGGACCAACTAGCTATCCAAAGATTCCAAAATGTCTCCCGAGTGATGGTTAGGGGATGCAATCAGCAATACAATGTAATCTAATAGTGAAGCAATAAAGGATTTATTACACATCTAATAAAGCATGTTATTCAATCAATTGAAAACAGTCGAATTAAAGCGTCGATGTATACTTATTCAGTGAACTATTAGAACAAACTTGATCTATTGAATCGTGAAGACAGTCAACGTTTATGAGGCTTTTAATACGTAAATTACTCAGATCAGAGCAAACAGCGGATTAAAAGCGCATCCATCTATCACAATGAGCTTGTTTAAGATTATTATTACACACCGCATTCTATTTAGCAATATACTCTGTTATACAGCATTTATTCGATAGACATGCTTATTTGTGACTCTGAATTGTTTGTTTGGTTCTGAGGGTTATCGCTGCTATCAAAAGGAAGATTCGGGTGAATCCAGTGCGTTCAATAAGGAAAATGGCATGATCGTAAAGGAAGATTGCGGGGCGAAGTCGAGGGCACAGAAAAAAACTCACATGATTACCAACCGCTTCCGGGAGCTACGAGTCGAACGATGCAAGAAAATCTTAAACTTCCTCAAGCGAAAATATCCGGTAATCCTGTTCACCGACGAGAGCATGTTTACCGTCGATCCCGTATCAAATTCCAGAACCGACCGGTATATTAGTTCTCTTCCGGTAAAACACGTGGCCGACGAGCACGAGAACGTGTATCTGACCAAGCATTCTGCTAGCGTTATGGTATTTGGATTGGTGGCTTCCGATGGCAAAAAAATGGACCCGGCGTTCATTCCAGAAGGCGACAAGGTCAACACGGAGGTCTACATCGGGCCCGAAGCCAAATATTGTATTTCAACAAGATGGGGCTCCGTGCCACACCTCGAACCGCACTCAGAAGTGGGTGCAGGAACATCTTCCGTTCTGGGCGAAGGATATGTGGCCGCCATCCAGCCCCGATCTTAATCCGCTGGATTACTCAATATGACGCGTCATGAAGGCCAAGGCCTGTTCTAAACGCCGCCCGAGTACAGCAAGCCTCAGACAAACATTGACCCGTACCTGAAGAGAGAAATGGATCCAGATTACATTATTAGAACCTGCCGTGCGTTCCGGAAGCATGTGTAGGCCGTAATTGCAGCAAGTGGAAACTCGATCGATGATTAACATAGTTTAAGACTCTGAGAAACATCCCCCCTTTGAATAAATAAAACAAACTCGAAAACGAAATTTCTGAGAATTTTTTTAATTTTGACATTGCTCAATGGTGCAAACATTATCACGCATACGGTAAAATACCACCAGAGATTATTCGGTAGAATCTGGAAAATTATCGATGCAATGCAAAAATCAATTACTTCGATCGATTTTTAATTCTTCATATCTGTGGGTGGGAGTTCCGTTTCGAGGTGAAATAAACGAAATACCTCGATAAAATTGCATACCCTTAATAACACCTAATAATTTCTCAATTCCGAAAAATATGTTTTTAAAGCATAAAAATGGCCGCAACTCTGCTGATGAACAGTAATTAATTGCATAATGCATTGTTTCCCGAAGTTAAACTTCATCTTCAAGGTTGGCATCAGTTTGGTCATCAAAATTCGTCGATCAAATCGGTTTTATTTCACCAGAATGTCCCAATTCATCCAATCACATTTTCTTCGTTCGTCGTTCACGCAATGTCCCCATGCCACCCAATCGTTGCTTCTGTTGCCGACGGCCACCGCCGTAAGACCTTCACAGCCCGTAGTGATATGGTACATGGCTTCGCAAAAAAGGTCAAAACGGAATGCGCGGTAGCGCGAAATAAACGAACGGCAACCTTCGTAGAAGAAATCCGTAAGATCATTAATCATAAACCAAACAAAACTGCTCCACCACACTCGCGCGCCTTTAGCATCATTCTTTTGGGTTGAGTCCACCGCCGGTCGCAGATATGCAGACGCAACCGACTAAGTAAACCAATATAAGTAAGTAAGTAAGTAAGTAAGTAAGTAAGTAAGTGTGTACTTGTTGCAACCCTACAATCAAGTCAATTCGAATAAGTGCTACGAACGCACTGCGTTCGTACATATTACAAACGATGACGTATTCAATCGCATTTTTATGAGGCTCGACTCACTCAGTCCCATGTTGGTGGTGTTGGTATGGGTATTCAACTCACTCGGTTAAGGTGAGGCTCGCCTGCATCCAAAGTAGGTCAAGTTTTCAAGTCATCATCTGCTCAAGGCAGCCCGCATGAACTACCTGCCCCACTGCCTCCCATCCCAACATCCACGATCCAAACGACGACGCGGAACGATGCAATATTCACGTTGACGTTCGTTCGGTCGTTCGGCAACGGCGGGTTGATTGGGGTTGTTCAGATTTTCCCGAATCCAAAGGGTTTTCGCAGCCCGTAGGTAACTGAAGGAAACTGGATAAAGACAGAGAACGTGAAAGTTCAACAACACTTTTCCAGAGAAAGAGAGAATGAGTGCGATTTTCATGATTTTCTTTTCTGTTACAATCCGATACCTACGTACGACGGATGAAGGGAGACCCCGTTGAAGGTCTGCTTCTTCGTTCGTCGAGCTTTTTTTTCCGCCACCACCCGATCAACCGCATTGCAAATCGTGTTGATTCACTGTTGTTGTTGTTGCTGCACCAGTAAGCGCACGCGAATCTTCGTGTGTTCATCCGAGTGGGGTTCATTCCGGCGAGTGGGGAGCAAGCCACCGTCGGATCGCTTCGCGCTCGCCAGTCGATCTGTGACTTTTGATTCGCGTTGACGTGTGTGCCTAGCAATCACCGCAAGCCCCTTTGTGTTTTCGTTTATTCGAGCGCCAGACGGTCGTCCCTCTCGCTCGCCGTTCTTTTCGCGGATTCTTCGGGACCGTGCTTGTTTTTGTGCGGGGATTGTCGTCCCCTTCGATTTAATTAGCGTTTATTTTGATTTGATTTCGGGTTTTGTTTTATTTTTGTGTTACGTTTTCGGTTTCGCGGTATTGAGTGTTCTTTTTTTTTTTGTCGCGTAGTGCGAATTTTATCGACGGTGCCAAACGCTATAAACAAATTTGCCAACTAGGAGACGGCGGGTGCTTCGGTGATCGAGCGTGATCAAACGTGATCGAGCGACAGCTGCGTCAGAAATGGGTCACAGAGGATTAACCGAGGGATGACCACCTACCCGCAGTTCCATCGCACTCTGGAGATCGCTGTGCTAGATAGTGCGAATGAAAGTGAAAATTTTTGTGGATTTTTCCCAGCCCAGAAAACAACATTGTGACCGCCAGACATATAAAGCGCGCAACATACTCATGCACGCTGATTTAGAAAGTGATTTTTAGAGCACTCTTTGAAGGCTCCTCCAAAGCAACATACACCGAGAAGTGCCTCTAGCCTGTTCGCGATTTCAGTGAAGAGGAGAAAAAAAAAAAATGTAATAACAAACCTCGCTGCAACAGCGGAGAAGGAAAAGTGATTGAAAATGAATCTGTGAGTTTGCAAGAGTGCGTACATACTTGCATATATATATATATATATATATATATATTTTTTTTTATAACAATTACATTGGCCAACAATAACAGGATTATTATCTCGAGATATGCTTAGCAGCGTCGGAGCAGGCGGCGTGCAGAATCGGAGAAATGGAAGCAGTTTAAAAATTAAGTTCAGTGGATAAATTGGAAGTGGAGTAGACGTCGGAAAATAACAAATATCCGAATTGGAGGAAAACCTGAAGTGATAACGAATCGGAGTGTACGTTTTTGATTTGTTTTTCGACGGTTCATTTGCATACACTTTGCACGGCCGTAAAGCAAGAAGGAAAATTCCGTGATCGGTTCGAGAAGAAAATCGAAAGTTTTAACATACCTACATCACACACACACACATACACCCAACTAACGTGGCGCCAATTGAGCGAATTGAGAAGAGATAGTAAAAGTGAATGAGTGAATGGTTTTAACGTGCTTCCAACAACCACCGCAGGAAAAAATAAGCCAGTGAGCAAAAGTGAAAAATTACCGGTAATTAAGGCGGTGAAGGAAAAAAAAATCAGTGAAACGATCGTGACACAAACAACTGTGACACCTTTCTGTGTGCGTGTATTTTGGTGACATACATTTATTTGGATTACCCCAACAACAATTCGTCGTGGATCGCGCGCATTCCCCCGGTTATCTGATCAGCCAACCGATCGATTGTCAAGGTGAGACATTCATACATAAAAATATGTCGGAGAATGAGTGAGTGAGTGAGTGAGTGATTTTAATTGGTTTCGTGATATGGTTTGCCTTGCAAGCGAGCGAACGAGTGAAGGATGCTGGATGTCCTTACGGATCGTAAAGTTGATGGCTTTGAGCACGGCGATGATGATGACGATTTGCGATCTACACGGTTACCAGAACATTCGAGGTGCTCAAGCGTAGAGAGTTGAATGGGTGCGCGACAGCCACCATATTTGTCTGCTCTAATGTCATTAGGATTCTACTGAACCGGAGGGGTGCATTGCGTGAGTGAGTGAGTGAGTGAGTGAATGCGATAGCAGCGATGCAATTGAATCGATGTTCATGAAGCAGGGTCCTTTGTGTCACGATCGTGATTCAGTGGGGTGGAGGTTAGAACGTGACGTGATTATGCAATCGTCGTTCACTCTTTCTCTCTCGCTCCAGGATTGATCTGTGCGGAAAGGTTCAATTTTCGAATCAATTGTCTTCCCCACGCACCTACCGTGTAGCAGAGTAATTAGACTGGGAACGAAGTCAATCGCTGTAAACAAGGTCAAAGAGCTCGCCCAAAAAGGTGTCGTGATTTCTGGTTTTGTAAACAACTGCTTGGATTGGCGCCGAGCGTCATGAATCGATTGATTGTGAGTCTACGCTTTTCGTTCTGGGGAGAAGTTTTGTTTGCCCACTAGGTTGCTTGTTTGCGTTTATACTGTGGTACATTTTAGGTTACGTATCGCTGCAGGGCATTTACGTAACAAATTCCTAGAAATCTAGATAAACATTTCGAAATGCCCTATCTGCTTTCATCAGAGAATTCATCGACTTTCTCTTTCATTTATAACTTTCCGGGTAGATTTGCTTAAACGTAAATCTTCCATTCTTTCCATTTTATCTATGATTAAGCATATTAAATTTAAACATTTTCTGCCAAAACGTACTAAATTTTGTACTAAAATACGAACAAAAAAAAAATGCAAGTCGTAATGACTTCTCTTGGTTATTTCAAGGAAGTTAAGACTCGCCCACGTAATTCAACATAATTTCCTTTACCCGATGGTAACGTTGGTTGGCGTGGGCGTGTCTAGATTTCTTAGGAATCATAGAGAGAAGTCATTGTTCACAAATGCTGTAAGACCCTTTTCAGCTGTGCATTGATTTTTTTAAAGTACGTTATCTATAAAATTCGTCTAGATTATAAAATTTAATTTTTTCCCGTTGCCTTTGATTTTAAAATAATTGTAGACTTATCACACATTCTTTGAGGGGTCGAAAAATAATTCTGTACCCAATATCCTGGATAATTTTCTTCGTGATAGAAAGTTTTCCTTAAGATGTTGAAAAATGGTCTAGAGAAATTTTCAAGCTCTAGAGAATTTTTCGAAGACCAGGGTTTTGAATAATCTCTCACGGTAGCTTTAGTTTCTGTACAAACGAGATAACAAACCAGCCACTAACTTAAAGTCACTCAAATCTAAATCTGTTCAAACATCGGAAAAAAAAAATCATGTTCCAGAATCTTGAGTTCTTTTCAATGTCCATCAAAAATTGTATTTTTTTACAAGCCCAGAATCGAAAATTTACTAGCCCAGATTTTTTGAAAAAATCAACGGCGTCCACTACGAAAAAAGTTGCAAATCGAGTGTTTACCAGAGCAAAGTCGGTTAACAAAATGAAAGCAAATCGATATTAAAGTTTGCAGTTCCTATTATAATGAAAACTCATTTTGATTTCAATTGTCGCGACAGAAGTCTGATATCATATTGTGCTTTCATTATGCAGTTAAGACTTTTTAAATCAAAACAACTTAACTTGAAGTTCGGTTGTTAATTTCTTGTTTAAAATTTGATTAAGTTCATCTGTCGTTGAACTAACGATTATTGTTTATTTGTTTTGTTTAACACATTTTAGGTCATTCGTGACTAGCCCGAGGTGACATTTGAGCTCAAATCTTTCAGCGTGAGAAGCATGGATGCTAACCATTTACGACGGGCCCGTATTCAGTCAAACATTATGAATGTAAAATCAGTAATCAAAGTGATTTCATTGAAAGCAGAATTAGTTTTCCGTTTGATTCAACAGTGTAAAATTATGCTCTCATTTTTGCTGTGTTAACCGTTAAGTCAACCAAAATGAGATCAAATGGAGTATTCAAAATAAGTTGCATCATAACAGCAAATTCTGATTTCAATTTGATCTCTAACTTTGCTCGGGTAACTAACATTACTCAAACTTCATGCAGGCTTTGCCAAAGTTTAAAAACTAATCCGATAAATCAATAAATAGGGTAATTGATGTCTTCGGCACCCATTGACTGTTTTCGGCAATCAAAATTTAAACGTTAATTTCGCTGTATTTTTCGCCAAAATACTTCGCTGAATGTATTTAAATGATTCCTTAGTCTGTCAGCTTCAATCTGATTACATTTTTACGACTGAGCAAACCTGTTATGCCGGGTTGCTCTTCAAATTAAAAATACACAGTACGGGTGATTTTGAGTTGCCGATAATAGAATAGCTGGTTAACACGTAGTTCAAATGGAAAGGTTGCCGAAGAAAAAGAGGCTTCCGACAATAGTCACACTCACTTGAGAAGTTTGGAGTGTTGTAAAACCGGTTTCAACCCGTTTTGGACAATTCTGTCAATTGGAATGGATAAAATTGCAAGCAGCTCATAAATGTAAACAAACAAACACGTCATATGTGTGCGTGACGCTGAGAAATTGCTAATAGAAGTTCGGACACTGCTTAGATTGACGAGAATACGTAAATTGCCCTAGCTGTTCAACTGTTAGCCAAGATTTCTAAAATCTATCTATTTACAGTGTTCCAAAGTCATGAAATGTGTTCTATGTTTCCGAAGCATTTTGTTTTTCGATTGTGATCTGAAATTTTATCGAAAATTATTCCATGACGCACAACTTCCATAAATTGTTTGTCCAAGCATTTGAAAAAAAAGGTCCAATATCTCTAAAACTTATAGCTGTATCATACAATTTTTTCCAATTTCGTTATTTTAGATGCATGTCTTAATTTTCACGTGATCTTTCCAAATGGAAAATGTTTCTCGTTCCAGAATAATTAGTTAAGGAAATTTAGAATGCTAATTCTAACTGATGATGAGCACTTTTACCAATCAGTAAATTTAAGAGCGATGGAACCATCTCAAATCTTCCCGTCAATATTAATTATTGAATTTTAGTTGTTTATCTACCAATATTATTTGAAATTATTGGGGCTTCTTATGCGTCACCTTCTCTTGTGAACGATTTAAACGATGTAAAGGCATGACAATCAGTTTTACAATCAATACTATTAAAAGTTGAAGTTTAGCATTTATTTAGGTCTAAGATCTCATACAATATCAAAGCCATACAGTTTCGAACTACATGTCAAAAATTTAGAAACTTTTCAAATTGCCAAAATTCCAAAACTAGAAGAATGAAGTCCAAGCCATTTGTTTAAGTTCGCAACCTTACATTTGAAAGTTCGTAATTTTAAACATTTTTGCTAGTTTTGGAACTTGAAAACGTTTCCATATCTTCTCCGTAATCCCCCCTTTATGTCCGAAATATTTATGTATAAATAAAATAGAATATTTGAAGATTTTTCTAAATCCAGGATCATATAACTTTCAAGCATGTAATCTTAAAACATCTAAGCCTCAGTATTTCCAATTTTATCCCAAACCTTGAATCTTGATCCTTTTTCTGTACCCAGGATCTTGAAAAAAAATTTATGGAAAAATTCCATTCTCTTATAATTTCCTCCATAATACTCTTGAAAATCTTCTGCTGAACACTTTCTGAATTCACCCCGTAATGCTCTTCATATTATTAATAATTCCCCGAAAAATACTCCTGATAAAAATCACTTGGAGTTCTCCTCAGCATACAATTAGTATTTTCCTGAAATTCCCATGAAATATCCTAAGGAATTCCTTTTGAGTTCTGCTCAGAATTCCCATTAATTCTTTTAAATGCTCCCAATAATTTCCTAAGGAACTCTCTTTTGAATGTTCTTAAAATTATCACCGGAATATCCGTGCTCAAGTAACATTGCAAGTTTTATCAAGGTTTTAAAGCGTTCTACAGGTCCAATTCATGGTATGCAGAACCCTCATAAAACCAAAATTGTTACTTGAGTGGGATACTTCTCAAAATTCAATTGTGTTGGAACTATCCTCGGAATTGAGAATTCAATTGCCTCTTACTCCTAAGAAGCATTATTTTCAGTATTATTGTTCTTAAAAATGAAAATCTCACATTAAATGTATTGCAAGGTAATTCGTTCTATGCACCCTAGCAACTTGAATGTTGATCATTTTCAAATTAATTTGCATTTCAAATTAAAATGCATCAATGTTTTAAAAGAATGTTTCAGAAAAGCTAGGCCGCTTTTATTCAATAGAATCTCATGATGATACAAGTTTTTTTTTATTTATTTTTTCAAAGGGTTCAAACGATACTCCTTTCGCGCAGCTGCGAAGCAAGTCCATGCTGGAGGCGGCTGGGTTCGATTTTCCTCCGGAAAATTTCTCGACTTTCTTGGGCACAGACACAGGCATACATAAGCTCTCAAAATGTGGAAGTGCTTCAAAGAACACTAAATTGAGTGCTATAAGCAATAAGCTTGAAATGCCATGTAGTAGAAATACAAATGATTTGTTTAAGCAATGAAAACAATTTTTTATTCGTCGCGGATTAGTATTTTTTTTTTTCGATATTGTTTCCCGTGCTGAGCACCAATGCTACCGACGCCAAGGAGGCATTTCCCACACCCGGACCCTACCACCTGTAGACCCATCAACTCATGAACCGGGGACCAACGGCTTTACTTCCCTTTCGAAGGAAGGCGTGATCAGAGATGTTATGCCTAAGAACATCCCGGCGGCGCCGACTGGGATTGAACCCAGGCCTGCTGAGGTGAGAGGTTATCACGCTTCCTACTACACCACCGGCGCCGCTAAACGGATTAATATTTAA